ATGTGTAATCCATTTTGTCACAATTGAGTCAAGTAAATGTATTAATGTAAATTCTTTAGTTTGAGTTACATATTGGTGCCACACAGTCTGTTATTTCAGTATCTAAATGTTTTGGAAACGTGGTAGTTTTTCTGTCTTTGAATGATCTTATATCGCCAAAAATTTGGAATGTAATCAAGAGCTAGTTTTTAGGGATTCAATAGAAATTGTGGGAAGAAGAAATGCCAGTACCACAGTATCAAGGTGTAGCAGGTCACCCACAAATTTCGTGTTGGCAAAAAATGAAACTTGGTCTGCTTATGGGAGTATTTATTGGTTGTGCATCAGGTGCTCTTATTGGAACTGCTAGTGCATATAGGTGAGTATTTGCAAGATTTTATGTGTCCCTTACGTTGTTAGGGATTTGTCTTACTTCCTACTCTAGATTGAATGCAGCTGATGTCTTATCTGTAAATTTTTCTGATTGATGGTGTTTAATTTACTCTGTAGTATATATTGATTTAGAATGCAAATGAATCATTATTGATTTAGAATTGAGCATGTTAATGACAAGCGTGCGTTTGTTTCGGCATCGTTAAAATTGTTAGATGCTTTAACTAGAAGAAAAGGAATTTATTGTACTTGAAAATACTTCCTGAAATGATTATTATGTCTTTTTTCTATTGTTTTTAGCATGGGCTTTCGAGGACGTGCTATGATGGCACAAGTTGGACGATATTCTACAAAAATGGGAGGCTCATTTGCTGTTTTTATGATGATAGCGCAAGGACTTCGTTGTTAACAATCTTTGTCAACAAATATTTTTAAAATGAAAATTTCATATTTGGAAAACAATGGTTATTTTAGGATTATTGTTCTATTTTTTGAAAAACCTTAGTATATATCCTACATTCAGTGTTTGTCTGATATTTTTTTGGAGTAATCATAAATCATCTTTTGTTGCTGATAATACTTTGATTATAGTTTATCTGTAATGCATTGTTGATAGCTTGTCTGTGGATTTAAGCTGAAATGAAAATTCTAGGTTGTCAAAATTGCCAATGATTTGAAATGTGAAGTAATTTTTTTATATTTGGCTTTGTTGTTATTTCATGTCTCGAAAATATTATTTTTCAAATGACTTTTACGTAACCATAAGTGCTGAATTTCATTCCTTAACGGGAAATTTCATTCCACAAAATGTCTATATATTAAGTGACGTTCTTTGTAAGCTTCAACAAGAAAATGATGTCTCTATTGTTCTATGGTTAACTTTGTGCTATTATCTGATTAATTTTCAAATATTCCTACTTTTTGTGTTTGGATCAATATTTTAAATTAAATTGTAGTAATCATATTTAATGGAATACACGGCCGAAGAAGTTGTTGGTTTTTTAGCATGAACTCATTTTGGCTTTCAATTTGCTGTAGTGAGTAATTCTTCATAAGTACCAAAAATTGATGCATCGCTTAATAGAACGGAAATTTTTTATGCTTTGCTGTGAAACAGTTCGAAACAGGAATCAGAGCTAAACATATTGCTCTACGTTGTAACTTTTATACTTTTCTTTATATATGCAAGTATTCAATGTATAAGAAATGGGATTGTGATATGCGAGTTTAAGTTAGGTCCATAAAAATATATTTTTGTCGAGAGACTAGTGGTAAAATGTTTGAATTAGAAGCATGCCAACTTTTTGCTTTTGAAAACAAGATGAGTGTGTGATTTTGAGTAAACAGTCGTGCAGAGGTACGAGTAAGTAAGTGTTAATGTACTTAGAAGGAGTTTTTAAATTGTGAATGAGATTTAACCTCTTATAAATTATTTTTTCAAGTCTTTAGCTTTATGAATGAATGCAAAAAAACAATCAAAACATAATTACCATATTTTGTCATAAATATTGTCAAGAACTTCCACTCACCATTGAGAAGTAAACTTTTATGAGTCCAAAACAACATATTTTTAAGGTAATCAAATCATAAAGTCTATTTTAATGACTAGAAGATTATTCAAGAAAAGTTAGACTGAGACTTAAAGAGGTTTCTACCGAGTTTATCACTCGGATGGTTTGTTTAAGACTTTTGTTACTTTCCTTGATTTGCCAGAAAGTTTTTCTAAGCAAGTGAGTTAGAATTTTGTGGATAACATACTATAATATATTAGCAATATATAAATTAAATAAACTGCAGTGGCTGGCAAGAATTGTATTTGTATCTGGTTAAATTTATGTTTCACAGTAATACTCAACCAAAAGTTAAATTTTTTTTCCACTTCAAACTGCTCGAAGATCACAATACAATCACAGATCAATGATCGGATGAAACAAATAATACAAAGGAACTGAGAATCAGTAGATTTAATACCCGGGTGCCGTTCGCGGTGGAGGACAATGGTCACACTGCCCGGGAAGACCTGGTGATCCAGCCTCCCCTCGCCTACCAACAACACCTGGCCTTCCAGGGAGTCCATGATAACCTGGATCACCAACGGGTCCTTTAGTACCAATTCTACCTGGACGACCGGGTTTTCCAACTTTACCTGGTAAACCTGGTTCTCCTTCATACCCAGTTGGCCCTGGCAATCCCTGAGGCCCAGATACATCAATTACTATTCCAGGCCGTCCAGGACGACCACGAATGCCAGGATTGCCACGAATTCCAGTACGCCCTTGAGGTCCTGTTTTACCAGGTATTCCAACTAAGCCAGGAAGACCGTCATGACCTCTGAACCCTGGCTTACCACGTGGTCCCTTCGGACCTGGATTTCCTCGAGGGCCAGGTTGAGCCCTCTCACATTCAAAGCAGAAGTCAACTTTTGGTTGTTGTAAATATAGCGGAGTATCTGGTCCGTCTCTACCAGGTATTCCTGGTAAACCATCGTTACCATCAGCTCCATCTTTGCCAGGTGGACCTGCCAGTCCTGGTGGTGATATACCACATCCACAGCAAAAATTGTCTGTGGCAAAACTTATTTCATAAGCTGGATATGAAATCTCAGATTTTCTTGAGTAACCATAATAAGTGGATTGCCGCTTGGATCGGTCTTCATGAGAATTTGTGAAGACCTGTAAAATTATCTTCGACACATTAAAATACGATACATTACAAATGGTTTTCTAGTCATACTTCTTTTTTTGGACTATGTTAATATCAAAGAAATTATAATAATGCCAAAAAATTTTAAAATAAGTTTGCTAAACCTGTGTTCTGGTCACTTCGCGCCAAAGATTGTTTGACCGCTGCTTACAAAAGTCAACTTCATGTTGCATAATACTCTGCATATGTTGCAAATAATTATAAAATAGTGGTATCGAAAGCATGCAAATTAGTGCAGCAGTGGTCGAGAATGTAACACCGAAAAATGTTGCACGTCGTAAAGTTGCAGCTTCCTGTTCCATGCTTATTTTCGTGGCATAATCATACATTTTGTCCTGAAATTCAATTAAGATTAATTTATTAATGAAATTTGATCTATTTGCAAAAACTTAATTCTTTGTTTAGCTATAGTAAAATGAGCAAATGAAAAATGCATTAATTGCTATAAATTCTATTAGATTCTCGAAAACTGTTAATTGAATCAGTTGGTTGTGTATTATTTAAGAATTACTGTCAGTATTTTTGTATTTTTATTATATATTTTAGCGTGATTTATTTCTACTGCATTTTATCAATATACATACTTTAATGATATTTTTTATGCAAACAAAAATGTTTACTCTCTGTTGTAAGGAGAAGAGATTACTTTCGACACTTGGAGATTATACAAAACAGATTATATATTTTTGTCAATGTAAAAATAAAATTTACAGAATTTTTACTCAAATTGTATGACTATAGCAATTATAAAACTATTAATATGCTATTTAAAAGTTTAGTAAAAGAAATGTTTTTGATTTTCTATGTTTTAATTTATTTGCACTCAATCATTTGAGATAATTTTTTATGTCTAATCCAGATTAACTTCAATCTTTTAATCCAGATTAATTTGAAAGTATTGTTCGCATTTAGTTCCTTTTTCAAATAAATCATTTTCTACTTCATGATCTGAAATGTCATGAAAATTAATTTATTGGGTTTTGAATCATTTTTTAGATTCACTGAAAGAGTCAGGAAATAATATTTAGTTCGAAGAAAACTTTAACTATATATTAAGAGACACCAAATACGTATAATTTAGTTTTAGATTATTCTCGCTTCTATATTATTTTCATTACAATAATTGTTGTTTAACTGAAAGTTACTGAATTAATTTACAAATTACTGATCAAATCAAATCTTTTAATTCTTTACCTGAAAAAATTAGTTTTTCATTTTTTTTGAGGATTTTTCTTCATTTCTTGTTCACTTTTGAATATCAGTTTGAGTTCTAATAACTTCAAAAAATTTCTTTATTCCATTTTTTTCCAAAGAAATATAATTTTACATTTGCATTCAGTATTTTTATTATAAAATGCCAATTATTCAAACTTTAATTTAAATAAGTACTTATTACGAATATTTAAATAAAGTTATAATATTCGAAAATAACAAAAATATTGCTAATACTTTTGTGGTTAAACTTTACATACTACCTTTGATCTAGACTGTTGTAATTCTCAGAAGAATTATGATAGTGCGACGCTGAATCAGCTGCAGTACCTGAAGGAATCAATCATATTATTCAAAAAATTTGCATATATTTAAAAAACGATATTTATCCAGTTCACATAATTAAAATATTTAAAAGCAAGAAACGAAGACTATTGAAAAATTTAGTTATAGTTTTCAATTATAAAATTTTTTAATAGAAAAATAAAGCAATATAAACAATAACTTTTGAGTTTTAACAGTGACAAAAGTCAAATATTGAAATTAAATTTTCAAAATTATTGCAAAAAAAATTTTTAATAGTTTTCAAAAAAATAAATAAATAAATAACCGTTGCAGTACAAAAACAAAAATACCAAAACTTTCAGAATTACTACTAGTATTTGAGTCACAAATTTTCACTAAATGTCCTCACTATAGTAATTAAAATATTCATTAAATGGGACACTGCAGCTGATGATACTAAATATTATTTATACGAAAAAATTACAAAGCACGAAAACGTAGGATTCATAACAATATCAAATGAAGTCAAAATTAAAGCATAGAAATATTTAATGCCATGAAGATTAATTTGACGCAAGTAAATTTCTTTTACTTTTTGTTAAAAATTTTTTTACAAATTTGCGATTTAAAAAATTTTTTTGACAATACTTTAAGATATTAAAATGCCAAACATTCAATTTAAATAAATAGAAAGTTGACACTTTTGTTATAAAAACTTTTATGTCAAAAATTTATTTTCTCTTCTTTTCAAATTTGTAAAATTTAAAAACAATACTAAAAAAATACAATATTTGTGCTATCGCAAATATGAAATCAATGAGCAAAAATGATATTATAACGCAAATATTCTCATATATTTACGTATCTAGATTTGGCTAATATTACTTTTAAATGCTAAAAATTACAAACCTAATCTGTTTATATCACAATTATTTGCAAAATTTTTAATTTTCTTACTTGAATTTTCAACCTTCAATTTATTAGCATGAATTTTCAATCCAAATTTATAAATTCAAAATTTAAAATAGCATTATAATTAGATGTGTGTTTTCAAAAATTATTTCTGCAACTATTTTTATATTAAATATGATTTAAATTATTTGCTACAATTTTGTATTTTATATAATTTTGAATATTTTGCTACAATTTTTTATTCTACATAATTTTGAATGTTTTTCACTGTTTTATCGAAAATAGGTAAATAAATGTTTTTAAACAAAATTTGCAATCATCAAAAGATGTAAATTTTGTTGTTATCTATAATAAATTTCAATTCCCAAGTTTTTCTCACCACTAATGCTCAAAAACATTTAAAAAAATATTTTTTAAACTTAAAAAACAAAATTTTAAATAATAATTTTTAATGCATACACAATTTACTACTATAATTTTCTTCACTTTCCATCAATTTTAACTTTTTATTCATTTTGAGAAAGTATTTAGAAGCAAAAATAATAACTTGAATTTATTATAAGTTAGTCTTTTTATTTTATGCAAAAAAAAAATAAATTATATGAGAAAAAATACAAATGGCTTAATGTTTCCGTTTGTTAGTTTTGAAATTAATTAAACTTTAAGATTGAATAAATTTATGCATAAAAAATTAACATTATATTATCAAATTTATATCAAATATACTGCAATATAAAAAGATTTTAAAAATTGTCGAAAATTAAAAATAAAAGATATGCAAACAGCAAAACTCAACTTAAATACGTTTTCTCACTCAGGTATTTCAGAAAAAGGCGATTTTCAAGAATTTAGAAAATTTCTTTACATCTCTTAATCCAGCACTTCGGAATAACAATTACCATCAACCTTTTCCAATACAATGAATAATTAATTGCTTCGTATAGATTAAACTATTATATTCTAAAGATTTACAGGTTTCATGAAAAATAAACAAACACTAAGTCTATTTTTAGTATAAAATAAGTCATTTCAAAGTTATAATTGAATATAACTTATGAGAAGTGTTTATGTATACTTTTTGCAAATAGCTATAGCTATTCAAATACAAGTTTGTTGAAGAGAAAAGACAGCAAATTAAATTAATTATTTGCTATACGTAAATAAGTACCAAGCATTTACTTATGAATAATAATAACAGTTATTAATTTTTGACTATTCTTATTTGGTAAGAAATTATTTTTGAATAAAAATATTTGCAGAAATGATTTGAAGATGAAAGAGTGCCATAAAAAGTATTCAAATGTTGAAAAATTCTTGTATTAAAATTAATTAATTAATGGTGAAGTTATTCCAACAAGTATGAAATAAAAGTTTTATTTTTAATTGATATAAAAAGTGCGCAATAAAAATATTCCAAAAGAGATTGATATCAAATTAAACTTTATAATTTTGCTAAAATTTATAAATGGAAAATAATTAAGTAAAAAAAAACTACTACAAGAAAACAATTTCAGTAATATCAAAGAATAATATTAACTTTTGATTATCATTTAAGTTAATTAGTAGCCAAAAGTGCCAATTCTTTAGCACATGTGAAATTTTTTCATGATGTAATAATCAAATTATTATAAATAATTAAAATTTTTTTTGATGAAAAAATTATCCAATGAAGTGCACTAATTATTACGTGTTAGTATCTACGCTTACGTTAAGTTGTATGACTGATAATTAAACAACTACAAGCAATACATTTAAACCAATATATGGAGCGCACTATATGAATCAAATTAAGACCTCACGTACTTGATTAAAATTAAGGTCATATATTATCAAAATTAATATTTCTAAGCGCAAAAAGTTTCATTATTGCCGACGCCATCAGAATAAATTTTTAATATGATTGAATTTAAGAAGAAAGCATGAGTATATTGTGTTTATTAATCTTCCGCATTTGTTTTATATAATTTTATTGTAAGGTACCACCAATATGAGATCGGCCTAATTAACCTTATTTCTTAAAAATATCAATGAGCTTGAACTTTAGAATAAATTTAAATACTTGTAAATTATTTACTTGAATGTTTATGAGACTTTTAAATACACTAAAGAGTATAGAAAACTTAAACAAAATAATCTCAAAAAATTCAAAAATAAATTAATATTCATTGACATATTTGAATCAAAAATATATTTATTACTCAAACTATTGCCTCAAAATAACAAATAAAGTAAAATTGTGCTACACTTACTTTGCTTTACTCTTATATTGGTAATAAAGTGGACAATCAACAATCAAATTTGGATGAATTTGTTATTAATGGGTACCACTTTACGCTCTTAAATTGCGATAGAAACAAAACAATTTTGAGTCATATTTTTCAGTCCATGACATAATCTAATCCAGTGCTATTTTTACTCTCCATGAAAACTTGCATTTAAAATTCCCCTCTGGTCGTAATTTCCGGTTTTTCGTTCTTCAAATTTTTCCTACAGCTTTTGACAATAAAAGTATGGACTTATAAAGATATTTTATAAAAAACCTATTGAATTAACTCTCACTGCTTACTTTCCTCCAAATCAGGAAATTAATAGTCTAATGATTTTGATATTTTGTATTAATCATTCGTGCATTTATTTTCACATTCATTTTTGCTCATAGCACATGTTTAAAATGCACCACATAGTAGTAGCACACGTATCAATGTGAGTTAACATGTTACTTGTTTAACAAGATACTTTATTGGTCAGTAATAATGCTACTTCTACCATTTGGAAGATGCTGATAGTAAACCAGTTGAAGTATTATAATTAAGAATGATTTTGTTTTATTTTAAACTTTTTATTTTGCATTATTGCCCAAGAACTTTGTTTAAAAATTACCCAAAAGGAGGGATACTGCTCAAATTATATTTAATATCAT